TGGCCTAATGGTTAAAACTGTAGTACACATAACGCCAGTTGTGCTAAACAAGTTCCTCGTGTCCCAGGATCCAATGGTTTTTCATCCTATTTTGTATCAATCAGCAGAGTATAGTTAAAGCTTGTCTTGATGTTGCATTCTTGCAAATGTCTTCAACTCTTACCTGAGAAAACATGGGAAAATGCTCAGCCAGACCCTTTCAGTTTTTCCTTTGCTTTTCTAAGGCTCGGGGAAACCAGTGTTTCAGTTGTATAAAATTTTTTTTGCCACATTCTTATGGCCCAGTCGAATTAATACCTTTTTTCTCACTGAGAGAGGAACACGTACTGCCTGTCATAACAGCATTGTAATGCCACTGTCTCAGTAAGTAACAGAACCCTGGTGGTGTTAATTGGGTGTTTTTTGCCCTGGAGAATTCAGATTCCCTTCTATACCTTCTATTCTGCCCAGAAGAGGGGGGAATCACCAGTGTTATAAAATTAGAAGATTGTTTTGCCTGTTTTAGACTGAATATTTGAACACTGCAGCATTACTAGCCACCAGTGTTAAAGGACAGATGAGGGGAAACATTTGTTTTTAGCAGTAATTCCATGCTTCATCTTTTTTAAGTAATTTGTTCCAAATGAAGCCATTTATTGACTTGATGCTCACCAATATCATTTGAAGAAATAAGACGAATTAGGGTTAGATGATAAATTCTAGAGAATCTGGGTGATTTGGGGGATTTCATTTGGTTTTGCATTACAGCTAGTTGCTCTCAGTAAAGGTAAATTTCTGGTGAAATAACTCAGGTTTAACCAGCTGTGTGCCCAGAATCACTGTTCCTTTATACATGTGTCCTCTCCTTAAATTCATTATTTTCAAATGATGTTCAAAGCATTGACTGTTTTCATTCAAAGAGACTACATTCAAAGAGGACCAAGACTACAGTGAAATTAAAACTATTTGCTGGCCGGGCATGGTGGCTCACACTTGTAATCTCAGCACTTTGGGAGGCCGAGGCAGGTGGATCACCTGAGGTCAGAAGTTCGAGACCAACCTGATCAACACAGTGGAACCCTGTCTCTACTAAAAATACAAAAGTTAGCTGGGCATGGTGGCAGGCATCTGTAATGCCAGCTACTCCGGAGGCTGAGGCAGGAGAATTGCTTGAACTCGGTAGGTGGAGGTTGCAGTGAATTCCCAATTGCGCCATTGCACTCTAGCCTGGGCAACGAGTGAAACACTGTTTCAAAACAACAACAACAACAAACTATTTGTTGACTATTGTTTTTCATTTAGTTTTTGAAAAGACTATTGGCAAAAGTACAGAGTTATCTTCAGCAATTTCTTCATAACTTAGATTGGTACCAAGAGTGACAGGAGATCTTGTCTTGAAAATCAATATTAGACAGATGCCAACAAGGAGACCCACTGTGACTTCTGGTAACCTATTTGGGGAGACGACCTAATGACCTATTAGGCAATTTCTGTCTTCATGTCTTTTGCTCCAACACACAAGCATTGGTGAAACATTTCAGACACCTCAGGCAGCACTTATGGTTTCTAATTGTGAGAACTACCCTTCCATCAAACAAAAAAGGCAAGGGTGGGAGCCCCAGCTACTTGGCTAAACATTTTTTTACTACAAATTCGCCTAGAAAAGGTGAAATGTTTTGTTATAAAACTGTATTAGGCATGACCTAAGTATTAGGTGTATGATCTGTCTAGTATGTTCCATGAGAAAGATTTCTTACCTAGTGCTTTAAGCTCCAGAGTAAACATTCATTTAAAATGGAGTTCAGTGGGCAGGTTTCCCCTTTAATCTAGATAGAAATACTCTTTATCAGAGATTTAAGGCGCCATTTTGCTAACTGGTAAATAAAACCAAATGTAAATATGTAAGAATGTTTATTTGTTGCACATAACTTTTTTGGTATAAAATAAATGTAGAAGTTACCTGTGGAAGGTGTGCTCCCATTATTCTTAAACTGCAGGGTTGCATTCCAAAAAAAGCGGAAACGGGGTCTTTTTAGACTCGGTAGGAGCCTTATATTCTTGAAGTCAATACTGTAACCTCATTTCTAAGGTATACAGGGTTGATTCTTTTTCTCTTAAATCATATGTAACTTGCAGAAGATTCAGAGTCCTCAGACCTCTAGATCTTGGAATTCCTGTGGGTTTATGATGTATGTGATTGTTAAGAATTAATGACAAAATGTGTCACTGCCTACTGTTCTGTGAACACTCAGAATGTATTAATGAGCTGTTTTTCCATAGTTTCACTTTGGCTTACCTTAAATACTCCATGTATAATCCTCTAAAAAGGTAGCATCGGCAAGAAAGAGGAATCCATTGGAAATACAGCTGAGCTATCCTTCATGGACTAGAACACGTGTGTTCTGTGCTGGAGCTTAAGACCTGTGGAAAGGGGCACTGCCCCCACCGGGCGCAATGGCTCACACCTGTAATCCCAGCACTTTGGGAGGCAGAGGTGGGTGGATCACTTGAGGTCAGGAGTTCAAGACCAGCCTGGCCAACATGGTGAAACCCCGTCTCTACTAAAAATACAAAAAAACTAGCCAGGATTGTGGCGTGTGCCTGTAATCCCAGCTATTCAGGAGGCTGAGGCAGGAGAATTGCCTGAACCCAGGAGGAGGAGGTTGCAGTGAGCCATGATCACGCCACCGCACTGTAGCCTGGGCAACAGAAGAAGACTCCATCTCAAAAAAAGAAAAAGAAAGAAAGAAAGAATTGACTGCCCCTAATTTGTAAACCATTTAAATGTGTCTACTAAATTTAATTTTTAAAAATGTTTGTCAACTAAGTTTTATTCATTATACTTTGAGATACTGGAACACTAAACTTGATTCCTTTGAAAAACTAAAGGGAAGTCGATAAAAAATAAAGAAGCCCTAGATCTTAATTGGAACTGACTACACTCTCATTTTTTAAAAATGCACTGACTATGCCTAATAAAACCAGGCGAAATTATCTTTATTCTTTCCTTCATGGAGCTTGCACAGGAAAGCTAAAAAGGAGGGTCCATGTGGAGACAGGGGGCTCAAACACAAGAGAGGGGGAGATCAAGTTCTATAGCAAAAACCATATTGAAGGCCAGGCACAGTGGCTCATGCCTGTAATCCCAGCACTTGGGGAGGGTGAGGCAAGCGGATCACCTGAGGTCAGGAGTTCCAGACCAGCCTGACCAACATGACAAAACCCTGTCTCTACTAAAAATGTTAAAAAAAAATTAGCTGGGCATGATGGCAGGTGCCTGTAGTTCCAACTACTTGGGAGGCTGAGGAAGGAGAATTGCTTGAACCCCGGAGGTGGAGGTTGCAGTGAGCCGAGGTTGCACCACTGCACTCCAGCCTGGGTGATGGAGCAAGACTGTCTCAAGAAAACAAAACAAAAAAGACTGTATCGGTTCATTGTATTCCAACTGACTGGACACCAAAAGGAATATTTTCCCAAAGCATATACTTCAAATCAGAACTGATGCACCATCCTTGCCTCACTGGAGCCCAGTCCTGTCTTACATCACTGGGCCATTAGAAGGAGGAGATTCTTAGAAAGACTTGTACACTCTGGGAGGGGTAGGTGGCGTCATTTTCAGAGGTGTAACCACTTAGCAGAATCTTTGATTTGTAGGCAGTTATTTTCACCAGAGGTCTTGTCACTCATTGTCAGTTACTGATAAGCCAGCCGAGTTTACTCATCTACCGTTTCATTCAGACCCTATGGCTGAGAATCAAACGATGGCCTGGGAGAACCAGTTACCTCTAACCTTCCGTTCAGGCCACTGCCAGCTGGATGAAGCAGCTCTGAACCCTGCTAAAGTCACTGCAGCACCAACAGCGTTTCTATGAATTTGTTGGTACATGTGGGACTTGTTTTAGCTCATCTGGGTAGTGGAACAGCAGCCTTGAAAGTCTTCACTCACTCCCTGTCGAAGCTGGCCGGTTTGCTACACAAACACGGCCCTAGGACCATGGAGGCTATTCATGATACCCTCTGAGACTAGCTGCTCTGAATTATATTAGTGTTGGGCAACAGTTTCTCCAAGTCCACATAGTGGCTCTGAAAACCAATGTGACACACACAGAAATGATTTCAGATGCTTTTAGTGGCCACTTTCAAACATAACTCTTTATTTCATACTGAAAATCTTTTATTTCCACATACACCATATTCCCTGCTGGCACAGTGACCATAAAACCCAGGCCAAACGTTCTGAGTCTGCAGTGATAATCAAGGAAGCACTTGTTCTGCTGCTGTGAAGTCATCCTGACAAAGGGAGGAAGGACCACCATAGATGGTGTCAATCTTCTCTTATGGGCTGTTTCCAAACATTGTGACTTGGACTGAGTGGGGATACCTGGTTTCATTGGCAATCTTCCAGTATCCACTCTGGCAAAGGAGGCGCTGCACTTTTGGTTGTCTGCAGTGAGGCCTTTTTTATTCCCCAGCACTCTCACGGAGTGCTAAAAAACAAGGCAAATAAATAAAAAAACAAGGCCTAAAGACCTAAGCGATTCAGATGACTGAGTGGGTCAAGTTAGAACCACACTGATTGGAAGTGAGCATGGAAATTGGATCTGGGATTCAAGGCAAGAGAATGTAAGTCAGAACTGGCAGAGATTGCTGGTTAGATAAAATAAAGATCCACTTGATGGTGACCAAAATATCTGTCTACTTGGGGGCTCTTGGTGACTAAGACTCTTTAGTCTACAAAGATGTTAAGGCAATGAGATAAATCTGTAGAATAAAAAAAGGAGTTTTGAAAAAACCTTGAGCAACTGCTTCATTTGTAAACATAATTTGATATTCCTTTACAGCTACTTTTCCATCTCTATCTGCTGGTACAGTCTTAGGCTGAACTACACTATAGGTAAAAATACGTGCTGGGCCCAGTTGCAGTGGTTCATGCCTGTCATCCCAGCACTTGCGGCTGAGAGGTGGCGTAGGACTGCTTGAGCCAGGAGTTCAAGACCAGCCTGGGCAACACATCATAAAGACAGCCAGGGAATGATGTAACCCAGAATAAAAAAGGAGGTTTTTGAAAAAACCTTAATGAGCAACTGCTTCATTTGTAAACATAATTTGATATTCGCTTTACATTACTTTTCCATCTCTATCTGCTGGTACAGTCTTAAGGCTGAACTACACTATAGGTAAAAATACGTCTTTGGGCCAGTTGCAGTGGTTCATACCTGTCATCCCAGCACTTTGAGAAGCTGAGGTGGGCGGACTGCTTGAGCCCAGGAGTTCAAGACCAGCCTGGGCAACACATCAAGACCCCGTCTCTACAAAAAATACAAAAATTAGCCGAGCCTGGTGGCACACATCTGTGTTCCCAGCTACTTGGGAGGCTGAGGTGGGAGGACTGCTTGAGCCCCAGAGGTCGAAGCTGCAGTGAACTGTGTTTACACCACTGCATTGCAGCCTGGGTGACAGAGCGAGACCCTGTCATGAATGAATGAATGAATGAATGAATAATGAAATTAAACTAAACCAGGCTGGTTTAGTTTCAAAAATAAATAAATAAAATAAAATAATAAATAAATAAATAAATAAATAATTCAGACCTGGGGTTGGGCATGGTGGCTTATGCCTATAATCCCAGCAGGAGTTCAAGACCAGCCTGACCAACATGGTGAAACCTCATCCCTACTAAAAATACAAAATTCGATAGGTGTGGTGGCGCACGCCTGTAATCCCAGCTATTTGAGAGGCTGAGGCAGGAGAACTGCTTGAACCTGGGAGGCAGAGGCAGCACTGAGCCAAGATCATGCCACTGAACTCCAACCTGGGTGACAAGAGTGAAACACTGTCTCAAAGAAGAAAGAATTCAGAGTTGGTTACCTTTTCAAAGAGGATGAGCAAGCGAGCATATCCACGAGCCACTGCCCACTACTTGACTATAGTTTGCAGAAGTGGTATTCTGTAAGCACGATAAATTTAAGGGAGAAAACAGAACAGCACAGTCCACTGTGGGTGGCTATTCCCTGTGTGTCAACAGGAGTTCCAGGAGCTGTGACAAACGAGTGTGGGCTGGCTGGAGAGGGTATGAGGGGCTGGGTGGGGTTCAGCAATCCACATGAAAAAAAAAAAACAAAAAAACAACCACAAGACAAAGCAATATATCTTTGTTGAGGAGGGCAAAAAAATGAGATGGATAAAAAAATGAGAAAAGGCCAGGCATGGTGGCTCACGCCTGTAATCCCAGGATTTTGGGAGGCCGAAGCGGGCAGATCACTTGAGGTGAGGAGTTCGAAACCAGCCTGGCCAACATGGTGAAACCCCGCCTCTACAAAAATACAAAATTAGCTGGGCACAGTGGTGGGTGCCTGTAATCCCAGCTACTTGGGAGGCTGAGGCAAAAGAATTGCTTGAGCCCAGGAGGTGGAGGTTGCAGTGAGCTGAGATCATGCCATTGCACTCCAGCCTGGGTGACAGAGTGAGACTCCATCTCAAAAAAGGCAAAACAAAAGGACAAAGTGAGTGATTAAACATGGCTCTAAGATCTCACCCATGCCCTGAGTAGGTATTATTTAGCGCATGCTGTGTCAGATATTGCAGAATACATGGGAAGCAACAATAAATAGGACTCCTTCTCTCTCCTGATCCCACAGTCCGATCAAAGATCAAGCCAAAGAAATAATGACAGTGCCTGGTGAGAACGCTGGCAGAGCCAGGTTCGGGCTGCAACTGACTAAAACTAAAAAATTAAAACACATCAAATTATCTTGTTTGGTCGTCTCTTAGAAATGGGTGAATTCCTTTTTGAGATTAAGACTTACTGTTTCCCAGATTTGACCTATTATCTTAGTAAACAAAACAGGGACTAAAAGAGGCAGGAGTTAATACACAGAAATACAAGGTACAATCCCTCTGCCCTGAAAGCACTTAACCCAGCTGGAGAAAGAAGGCAAATACATGCAAATTTGCACAACAAAAGATCTGAGTGACAATAAGATATAGTGATCATCTGCCTCAAAGAAAGACACAGCTTATTGCTGAAAGCGGGGCTGAATCGTGTGGACGCTGAAAGACTACAGAACTTCAAGGAGATCAAACAACTGCAGTGACCACCCCCGTGCAGGTGACAACTTCTACATTTCTCTCTCAATTTGACTCTGGGGCTGCAGATCCATCTTTCCAATCAGCTCAGTAAGTATTTATTGCGTTAAAGACCTTCTGGAGTGAAAACATGAAGAAGCCACGACTCTGCAGCCATGTGTTGGGGGAAGCAGAACAATTACCCACTCTCCCTGAGCCTCAGTTTCCTCATCTGTGAAACAGGAACGACAACAGTACTTACTATCTTATGAGAGGATGAAGAGGGATGAAAATCTTCCCAGAGGCTGCCGCTACCATTTATTGCTTGTTTTCCATGTGGAAGTACATTGAATCCTCAGATTTCACTGACACTGAGATAGTAATTAACTTGTCCACAGTTGCAAAGCTAGTAAATGGCAGAAAAGCTCCTGTTCTTGGCCATCTGCTTCTAGTGTACATGTGATAATGGATGGAAAGTGTCATAATGCAATCTGTCCCACAATAATTTCTCCATAAATGGCAGTCATTGTTAGGGCAGCTCTAGTCAAGTTCTACTTCTTGTAATCCCCCAAACATTTACTCTAGACTCAAGAAGGGAGACTCCACAGAGATGATGCTTGCACTAGACCCTGATGGCTTTTCAACTCAAAAGGGGATGTGAGGGGTCGGGCGCGGTGGCTCATGCCTGTAATCCCAGCACTTTAGGAGGCCGAGGCGGGTGGATCATGCGGTCAGGAGATCGAGACCATCCTGGCTAACACAGTGAAACTCTGTCTCAACTAAAAATACAAAAAATTAGTTGGGCATGGTGGCGGGCGCTTGTAGTCCCAGCTACTTGGGAGGCTGAGGCAGGAGAATAGCATGAACCTGGGAGGTGGAGCTTGCAGTGAACCAAGATCTCGCCACTGCACTCCAGCCTGGGAGACAGCGAGACTCCGTCTCAAAAAAAAAAAAAAAAAAAAAAAAAGGATGGGAGGGACAGGGACAGACAGCCAGGGCACGAACAACACAAGGACATGCCCATAGGAAAGAAACCTCCCAGAGTTTTAGGAAACAGCTAGAGACGGGTGGGACACGGGGTGAAAGAATCATCTGGGAAAAGATCAAAAAGGCTCTGACTTATCAAGATGCTGGGTGTGATTTGGTCAGTATAGGAGAGCAACCAAGGAAGAGGGGCATGCTCTGGCTGGTGCTGGCAGCGATTCTGGAAGATCCACAAAAAAGGGAGGTAAACAGTGAGAAACACACTGTAACAGCCCTGGGTGAGCGAGAATGCGAGAGTGAGTTTATAAAGTTGGCCAGCAGCAACAGGCATGCCAGTAAGCGTCTAAACATGTGAAATTCTTCCTGTCACCCTCAGGTAAAGTTAACAGGACCTGCGTAGATTGTGTGCGGGGAGGAGGAGTGAAGGAACAGATAGAGTCAAGGTTAGGGTGTTTACAAAAAAATATATTATTTCAAATGAAATTTGAGTTTGTAGTACCTTTATAACTCTGAAGAGGTTTCTGTCAAAAAGTGTGTCTAGTTTGAGGTCTAATTTGGTCTAGAACTAAAGGAAAAAAACCAGCACTAGCTTTATTTGCAAGGAGTTACATGAAACCATGGAGTGGATATTATGCTCCAGAGACCAACTGTGGAGCGAGTGAACCAGGACAGAACACCATAAAGCGCCTCCATTTAAGGGGCCAGAAGCCAGACGCGGTGGCTCACGCCTACTTAAGGGGCCAGAAGCCAGACGCGTGGCTCATATCTGTAATCCCAACACTTTGGGAGGCTAGCACGAGATCACTTGAGGCTACGAGTTCAAAACAGCTCCTGCAACAAACTGAGACTCTGTCTCTACAAAATAAAACAAACAATTAGTCAAGCATGGTGGCACACACTTGTAGTCCTCCCAGCCACTCGGGAGGCTGAGGCAGGATTGCTTGAGCCAGAGTCTGAGACTGCAGTGAGCTATGATCACACCACTGCACTCCAGCTCGGGCGACAGAGCCAGTGCCAGGTTGACAGTGGTCAATGCAGAAGCCACTGGATTTGCTAACCAAGAACTCATTGGTGGCCTGTGCACTTCAGTGGAATGACACCTGTGCTGTGGTGTCAGTGGAATGACAGTGGAAAGTTCAGCAGAATGACAACTGGTCTTCGGGGACTGAGGAATGACTGTGGAGCAAACAGCCTCTGATAACACAGAAGTAAAAAGTAACTGCTGCCTGAGGAGGAGGGTCCAGAGGGAGATCGAGAATGGCCACTGGCTGGGAAGACAAACACGGAGAGGCTGAAACTCCAGGAGAGAAAGGGAAAGACCTCAGAAACTGCCCAAACCTCCAGCAAGACCGAAACAGTTCCACCATGACCACGGGGAGGGAAAGCAGTCAGTCAGAAATGACTTGAAGGAGATGAGGTTATTCACGGTAGTTTTCTCAGTTCCCATCTGAGAGGTCTCCACGGAAGAGGGAGAAGAGGGATTGCAAGGACTAAAAAGCTGCAGGGGATCTGCACGAGACGACTCAGAAGTAAGATCAGCAAACGACATTCACAACCGCTCCCTGAAAAACTCCCAACCTGAGGTCGAACCACTAAGCAAGTTCCCTGTCCTACATCCAAGATGCTGAGCACTGCTGTGGTCACAGCAGGCCCCCACACTGCACACTCCAGTCTAGGGTGGTGGGGGAGTTAAGGCTTGAGTCAGGCTACAAACATTCCCCACTGGCTTCAGAACCAAGCCTTTTTCTTTCTTTTTTGTCTTGCTCTGTCGCCCAGGCTGGAGTGCAGTGGTGTGATCTTGGCTCACCACAACCTCCGCCTCCCAGGTTCAAGGGATTCTCCTGCCTCAGCCTCCTGAGTAGCGCGACATAGAGCGGCCACATCCACGCCTCAGCTAATTTTTTTTTTTTTCAGTAGAGACAGGGTTTCACCATGTTGGTCAGGATAATCATCTCCTGACCTCCTGATCTGCCAACATGGCCTCCCAAAGTGTTGGGATTATAGGCATGAGCCACCGCGCCCGGCCTAACCAAGCCTCTTTCATTGTGTCTACTTTCTCCCCTTGCTTCTCAACTCCCACACCCCTAGCTCTTGGCCCAAGTGATCACCAAAACTGTTCTTGCTTCAAGGGCCTAGTGTCCTCCACACATAGTGGCTGCTCCTCAGTCCTACTCCATCCTGTTGGTGACATGTGACACTACTGATCACTCCCTCCTTGAAACTGCCTGGCTCCTCAGGGTTTCCATGACACCTTCTTTCT